CTTTCTGTAGGGCTGGATTAGTGGTTTCAATCACTATAAACTGAGAAAACAAGATATTCCACGACAAAACCAGAGATAGGGTTTCTTTGCGTATCTCTGGTTGTCCTGGAACTCACTCTGCCTGTCTCCCTGAGTGATGGGATTGAAGGCGTGCACCACCACCTGGTAATTGGTCTCATTATATAGTTTTACTGTGTCAGAGTTAAAAACTTTCCTTCTTATTTAGACAAAAGGGGAAATGTTCCAGGATTTGAACACAGATTCTGGGGAGTTCTCCATATTGTCATTTATTTCCTCCACACATTCTGAGTATCTCAAACTCTAAGTATCTCTGTGACACCCCGAGACTGTTAATAATGTTGTCCTTGAATTAGGGGGCAGAGGCAACAACTAGGTGACTGGAATTAGCCATAAGGGTTTTGGAGGACCCAGGATACTTTGTGATAGAGAGGCACAGAAAAGAGTAGGGAGCAGTTTAGAAAGATCCTTGGTCCTTTGTGATCTGGGAGGCATGGAGAGAGAGGGTCAGCTCTTTGTTACTCCTTTATTTATTTATTTTTTTAAACTATCAGGTTTTTACCCCAATATCTGACTCCCATGTTCTTATTAATAATAGAACAATTTAGATAACACTTCACATAGCTATGTCACCTGCTTGAGGAGTGGATTTCCTCCACTGCTGATGGAGACAGTGACAGCAGACCAAGGAAAACATCTATTCATGGCCAGCTTGGTGAGCCCTGAGCTCACTGGTCACTCACAGGATCCCAGGTGAGTCCGGGGATAACCACTGACACCCCACCCCAGTGTGCATGTCACTCACACAGCTGCATCACTGCAGTCCCCAGCACAGCTCCCAGCAGCTCCACTCAACAGTCTCCTCCCCCTCAGGAACCACAGCTGGTTTAGCCCTGAGAGGGAAGTGCTACATTGTGTCAGCTCTGTGAACCTGGAGCTTCCTGTGTTTCATGAGCCTCATCAGCCTCCTCCTGGCTCCAGCAGGGACGCTCCTTCAGTCTAGAGGGAAATTCACCCCATCACCTCCCTCTTCTACAGCAGCTCCCTTTGTTAAAACAACCTCAGGCCAAGTGCTGGTGTGTCAAGTGCAGCCCCAGGTCCCCTCACACTGAGGTCAGGGTCACCTGAGCTTTCCCCTCAGCAAAGCCCTCCCTCCCTCTCCCCACCTGCCTTTCTGTCTGTGGTCCATGATCTTTTTTTTAATTCATTCATCAAACATCTATTGTGTATGAATGTTTTCAGAGTTCCTGGCACTGGAAGTCATCATCCCTCACAAGACAAAGATGGCTGCATCATGACAGAGATGATCACCTCCTTGGTCATCAGACATCTCTGCTAAGGCTCCTGGAGCTCCTGACTCAAGTCACTAGGCTAGAAGAGAAAACACAGGGGCCAGAACCTGGAGCAGGGGATGAAATAATTTCCATGTCAGGTGTTCCCACAACCAAATTTTAAGAGAATTACCTTTATATCTGTGTGTTTTCTTGCCTGTATTTGCACCAGGTATCTCTCCGGTGTTGGGGGGTTTAATGGAAGCCATGGAAAAGGAATTAGGGATGTCTGTGAGCCACCATGTGGGTGGTGATATCTGAGCCTGGTGCCTCTGCCAGAGCAGCAAGTGCTCCCAACCCCTGAGCCATCTCTTCAGTCCCTGGATCATGTCTTTTAAATAAACACAAATCTGAAGTAGACTCAGTCTGTAAATCCTACAGTCACCACTGGAGGCAGCACCAGGATTCCCAGAGCCAATGAGGGAGAAGGAACCTTGGACAAAATACAGATCCAACGGGACAGATCTGAGATGAGACTCTGTGGATCCCTCCTCTCTGTCATCCTACAACCCAGGTTAGATTCAAAATGGGAAAGAAGAGAACCTCCAGGGAGGGGCTTGAAAGGAGACAGGACTCAGAAGACTGAAGTTCATGTTCTCATCCTACTGTTGAGTGCAGGGGCCTTGAGGGGACAATGATGGAAAAACAGATTTTAATGCTGTCACTCATGGAGCCAAAGGGTTAAGGAGGCAGGCTCCACTCTCAGGAACAAAAAAAGGCCTAGCCCTCCATACAAACTGAAAAGTCAACAATAAACAGGGAATATGGCATAAAGAGCTACAGTAAGGTCGCAGCAGTCTTGGCTGGGGGCAGGACATTGCTCTGGCCATCCCTGTGTCTCTGTGACCACAGATCTCAGAATGTGGTTCTAAGCGATGAAGAGAACAGAGCCTGGAGGTCACAGAGCTGAGGAGTGACCATGTCACAGCCAACAATGTTCACAGCCATGTGCACACTCAGCTCCTACAATCCCATCCTATCCCAAGATGGACACAGCACAATGAACACAGATTCTAGAAGGTTCTACACGCTATCACTTATTTCCTCCACAAACTCATAAGTATCTCAATAATTTATTTAACAGCCAATCAACCTGTCAGATCAAGGATGAGAACAATCAAGTTCAAATTGAGATCCTTATTTACAGTGGGGAAGTTAGGGGTGCAGGACAAGATGGAGATGTCCCCTCCTGTCTGCGGGAACAGGAAGGGTTGGCCACGGAAGGGAACTGGTGTGCAGGGCTGGGCTGGGTTCCCAGTTCTTCACATTGAGCCCATAGAATCATAGGGAACATCAGACACTGCTGCAGAGAGTCAACCGTGGATGTCACAGGAGAGGGCTGAAGACATTGTCTGCCACTCCGTCCATGCCAGACAGCTGTCTTTATGCTACAGAACAAGAGTCATGAGCAATCTTGTGAAGACAACATCCCAACAACCCACCACTCACTCACAGGTGATTCTGGGTGTCTCTGAAACCCAATCAAGTAGACTTTGCCCCCCCATCCCAAATCAGGTCCCAGAGTGTCACCTTTACAATCTGAGAGAGACACATCCGAGCTCTGGGAACTGTCTCTACTTAGGGTTAAAATATATACTTTCATAGGAAGATAAAAACATGGCCCCTAGAAGATTTTGCTGCAGGTGATATTATGGATTTCCAGATCCCCGATTACTCCAGCTTCACCCCACAGGCCTCAGGGACAATCCTGCTCCCCACACTTACCTGGAGCTGGAGCATAGGTCCCTTCTTTTCCACCTGTGAGAAGAAAAGCTGTGAGAGACCAGGGAGGAGCCAACCCTAGAACTTCTCCAGAACCAACAGCAGACGCAGGTCAGAGACAGGAGCTATGGGGTGTGGATGTGTTTCCACGAGGCAGAGAACACTTCTAAAATGGCTGAGAGAGAACTCAGACCCTGCCCTTTCCTACCTGAGTTTCTCCTCTTCCTCACAAAAAACACCAAAGCTCCAATGATCACAGCTCCAATGAGACCCAGAGCAGCAATGACTGCCATGATGGGGACAGTGGACTGAGGAGGAGGCTCTGGGAAGGGAAGGACAGGAAGGGAAGGTGAGGGTCATGACCCCAGCTCTCAGCCCTGACCCTGCTCAGGCTCTGCAGAAGGCTCCAGCTTTCCCTGACCCCAGCTCTGCACCCCTCCCTCCTTACCCCATCTCAGGGTGAGGGGCTCAGGCAGCCCCTCATGGTACACATGGCATGTGTATTTCTGCTCCTCCCCAGAAGGCACCACTACAGCTGCCCACTTCTGGAAGGTTCCATCCCCAGAAGGTCTGGTCTCCACCAGCTCCATGTCCTGAGTCTGTTCTTCCTCCTCCCTCTGCCAGATCAGGGTGATGTCAGCAGGGTAGAAGCCCATGACCCAACACCTCAGGGTGACATCACCTTTAGGTCCAGGATGATGGGTCACATGTGCCTTTGGGGGATCTGTGTGGAAGATTTAAGAAATCCCACAAGAACAAGGTAAAATGAAATCTGCAAAGACAAAGTTAAATCAGTGATGACACTGAACTATGTGTCTGAACACTTCTGACTGTCATCACACTAGTGACCTGCAGGGGGCGCTGGTCCTGTCATCACTGATCGGCACATTTTCCAGGGGGACCCAGAAGCTAAGAGGGAATCTCAGGAACCAGAAGGTCACATGGTCTTCCCTATGTGATGTTCTATAGCATAAGTTAGGTGGTAAAAGTATTGAAAAAGGAATGAAAAATAATTTATTTATAAGCATGATTAAATGCATATCAAAGTAAGAAATTAAGAGGAACGGCATACATGAAGGGTGCCACCAACTACTGCTGCCACCATTGAGGCCCAACCACTGTGGCCATCTTGCTGACCAGCATAACTGTCTGTCCAAGTGAACAGCCATCACCAAAGTGTGCAGCAGAAATGGTGTGAACCTCTGACACTCAGCCAGAGATAATGACTCCCTAACCCCAGCCTCTGGGGGCCAAGATACAAGGTGTTGTCACCCAGGATCCCTGGAAATAGCTGTGGAGCCCAGTACAGCACTCACTGGGAAATCGGTGCTCACAGGGGTGTGTGGGTTTTACTTATCAGTCAAGAAAGTTCAACTCCTAATTCACTAGGAGCAACACTGCAACTTGTTCCAGCAGAGGGGGAACAGTGGGGGTTTGGATGGTTAATTCTGGCAGAAAATAGTCTAAGCTCATGGGACTCTTTCCTTTAAGGGAACACTGACTTCTGTGATTATCCAGATTAGCAGTTGCTCAGGGAAGAAGAAAATGACAACTCAAAAAAAGAAAAAGATAAAAAAGGAATAAAATCCCATAATTTCGAGTGTTTTTCAGGGCACCCCAAAAGTGTCACGTGACCACTCTAGGAAGAGAGAGAATTGGGGTGAGGGAGATGCAAACCTCACCCACAAGAATCTGGGAGACTGTATTCTGTGGAAAGTTATGGAAACCTGGGAACCACCCTAGGGTCGGGGCGTCCACGTCTCCATCAGGTAAAGGAGACTTCTGGTCCTGGTGTGTAAGGCTGACACACTCAGTCACCGGGTGTGGGCAGAGAACCCGGCCTGGCAGAGGCCATGGCTGACAGTGGGCTGCAGACTGAGGAGCCACTGCTGGGGATGTGGGCATCTTCTT